GGTAGCACAAGAAGCAATCTGGGCGAAGGAGTTCATTACCGACCTAGGAGTCATTCCCAATGCGTCGGGCCCGATGACTCTCTTCTGTGACAACACTGGAGCTATTGCCCTTGCCAAGGAGCCCAGGTTTCACAGGAAGGCCAGGCATATCAAGCGTCGCTTCAACTCCATTCGTGAAAGTGTTCAAAATGGAGACATAGATATTTGTAAAGTACATATGGACCTGAATGTGGCAGATCCGTTGACTAAACCTCTCCCTAGAGCAAAACATGATCAAGACCAGAACTGTATGGGTGTTCGATTCATCACAATGTAACTAGACTATTGACTCTAGTGCAAGTGGGAGACTATTGGAAACATTGCTGAGGAAATCGTTAACTGGTAGCTGCTCGGTCGGCTGGTGAGTAGGGGATTAATAGGCTAATCGGCAAGTTAATCGTCCATTTAATCAATTAATCGGACGATTTATCAGGAAATCGGCTACTCGGGGACCCTATGAGTAGGGATTAATCGGCAAGTTAAGTGGTTAATCGGATGAATTCTTGAACAGGGGTTGGAAATATGCCCTAGAGGCAATAATAAAATGGTTATTATTATATTTCCTTGTTCATGATAATTGTCTATTGTTCATGCTATAATTGTGTTATCCGGAAATCGTCATACATGTGTGAATACATAGACCACAACACGTCCCTAGTGAGCCTCTAGTTGACTAGCTCGTTGATCAAAAGATAGTCATGGTTTCCTGACTATGGACATTGGATGTCATTGATAACGGGATCACATCATTAGGAGAATGATGTGATGGACAAGACCCAATCCTAAGCATAGCTCAAAGATCGTGTAGTTCGTTTGCTATAGCTTTTCCGAATGTCAAGTATCATTTCCTTAGACCATGAGATTGTGCAACTCCCAAATACCGTAGGAGTGCTTTGGGTGTGCCAAACATCACAACGTAACTGGGTGACTATAAAGGTACACTACGGGTATCTCCGAAAGTGTCTGTTGGGTTGGCACGAATCGAGACTGGGATTTGTCACTCCGTGTGACAGAGAGGTATCTCTGGGCCCACTCGGTAATGCATCATCATAATGAGCTCAAAGTGACCAAGTGGTTGATCACGGGATCATGCATTACGGTACGAGTAAAGTGACTTGCCGGTAACGAGATTGAACGAGGTATTGGGATACCGACGATCGAGTCTCGGGCAAGTAACGTACCGATTGACAAAGGGAATTGTATACGGGATTGATTGAATCATCGACATCGTGGTTAATCTGATGAGATCATCGAGGAGCATGTGGGAGCCAACATGGGTATCCAGATCCCGCTGTTGGTTATTGACCGGAGAGTCGTCTCGGTCATGTTTGTGTGTCTCCCGAACCCGTAGGGTCTACACACTTAAGGTTCAGTGACGCTAGGGTTGTTGAGATATTAGTATACGGTAACCCAAAAGTTGTTCGGAGTCCCGGATGAGATCCTGGACGTCACGAGGAGTTCCGGAATGGTCCGGAGGTGAAGATTTATATATAGGAAGTCAAGTTTCGGCCATCGGGAAAGTTTCGGGGGTAATCGGTATTGTACCGGGACCACCGAAAGGGTCCCGAGGGGTCCCCCGGTTGGGGCCACCTATCCCGGAGGGCCCCATGGGCTGAAGTGGGAGGGGAACCAGCCCATTAGTGGGCTGGTGCACCCCCCATGGGCCTCCCCCTGCGCCTAGGGTTGGAAACCCTAGGGGTGGGGGGGCGCCCCACTTGGCTTGGGGGGCACTCCACCCCCCTTGGCCGCCACCCCCCTTGGATATTGCATCTCCTAGGGCCGGTGCCCCCCTAGGTGTCCTATATATAGTGGGGGGAGGAAGGGCAGCCGCACGCTAGCCCCTGGCGCCTCCCTCTCCCTCCCGTGACACTTCTCCCTCTCCCTGAGATCGTCGTTGCTTCCACCACCACGCCGTCGTGCTGCTGGATCTCCATCAACCTCTCCTTCCCCCTTGCTGGATCAAGTTGGAGGAGACATCTTCCCAACCGTATGTGTGTTGAACGCGGAGGTGTCGTCCGTTCGGCGCTAGGTCATCGGTGATTTGGATCACGACGAGTACGACTCCATCAACCCCATTCTCTTGAACGCTTCCGCTCGTGATCTACAAGGGTATGTAGATGCACTCCCCTCTCCCTCGTTGCTAGATGACTCCATAGATTAATCTTGGTGATGCGTAGAAAATTTTAAAATTCTTCTATGTTCCCCAACACCACTGTCCTCGTCGGTCGCACTGGCTTGCCCGGAGACCTACTCTGGTGGCGGCGAGGGGGGAGCTAGCAGGGGGCGCCGGCGCGCGCTAGGGTTTCGTCGCCGCCCGAGTCGCCCCGAGCGGAGCGACGCGGGGGCTGGGGGGTGGGCTTTGGATCTAGTTTTTCCAACCAGATAGGAATACTCTCTACGTGTACACAACCTTAGGGGTAGTTTGGTCTTTTCTGATGCTTACAAATGGAAAAGAAAAGAGAAAATCAATAAAAGAATGGAAGTGGCATGGTAATCAAAGAGTCGACCAGCGGAGTGGCAATTTTGTGAAGCCAATCTTTGAAGTGGCAATTTTGCGAAGCCACATATAGAAAGTGGTAAGTATCCAATTTTCTCATCGGAATTGGCCCGGTTGGTTGCTACTGGCCAGGGTTCAACCTCACCTGCGACCGCAGCAGCAGTCTGCCGCGGTTGTTCCTTGACAGCGAGAGCGAACTCATTCGCGTCCAGGAGATCTTTCTTCAAAACAACACAGTGCGCGTCCTCCGTGACGACATGATCAAATTGATGACCAACATGCCTGTCATTATCATTTATGACAGTGACTTTGACTGCGTCTTCACGGGTCTTGGAGACACGCCCTACTCACTTTCGACCAACGGCAACGAGCTCATCCTCATAGGGTGCAACCTTCAGGCGTCTGTTCGGACAAGGCAGCCAGCAGGACCGAGTAAATAGCATAAAACTACTACTTTACAGGTTAGGGTTTCAAAAAACTATGGTTTTAAATTTTTCGCTGATAACTACCAACTCAGGGGTTGCCTGTTTCAAAAAACCCAAATTGTTGAGTCTTTATCAGTTGATACCGATTATGACAGGTCGGGCCCGCATGTAAACACACCGTTACTTTGACCTTAGTTTGACCGTTAACTTACATGTGGGGCCCACATGTAAGTTTCCTCTTCCTCTTCTCTTTCTTCTTCCTCTCCATCTCTTCTCTTCCCTCCCCCTGTGTCTCCCGTCCCGGCCATCTCCCCTCCAGAGCCGGCGACCTCCCTCCCCTCCAGAGCCGTCGACCC